GGTTTCTCGAAACACGACCCGCCTTGGAAGATCTGATCGCAAAGAATATTTTACCCAGCACCACTCCGGAAGCTCGGGCGGAAATGCGTATTGAGATCGAGGCCACTCTGGAACGACGTTTGAGTCAACGACCAACTGCCGGTGAACTGGAACAGAAGAATATTCTGCATTGTGAGTTTGAGTTTGTTTTGCATTGTTATTCGCTTTTTACTTGTGAAAACGGGCATAAAGCCAAACCATTATACCATAGTGAGAGGATACGAAATGATAGAACTAGACATAATCCGAAAGATCCGGTAATGTTTTCTCATGACCTTAAGCAGTTATGCAAATCAGTCTTCTGATTCTCCCTCCCCTCAACTTAGATAATCTGGTAAAATAAGTTAATTCACAGTGACATTTCTCTCTAATCCGGACCTTCAGTTTGCACAGCCGCATATATGTTTCACACGCGTCTGACGCCAGACTGTGTGCAAAACAAATCATGGTACGATAATCTTTATAAAAAAGAAAAGCGTTCCATGATTGGCATGTGGGCAGAGTACAGTCAGGTTCCCCAGGCCAAAGTAGATGAATTTTCTCGAGGGTTTCCACAACCGGAACTTTCGGCTAGCTAAAGCCTGACCCCCAAAACAACGGGGGCGGTGTGCAAACTGCAATCCATTGGGGGCCGGTGTCCTGTTCATCGGATCATGCGCCCTTTGGATGGGATCAAACGTGCCCAAGGTGCCCAATACACCTTGGTACCCAATCGAGCCCGTGACCACTGCCACAATCGAGGAGGGTTTGGATGAGTGTGGTTCGTACGCCTCTTCTTGGTTGTATTGTATTGTGACAACTTCTGCAAGCATGAGGCCCACATTTCAGTTAAAAAATGTATACAGTTTGGAGCAAGGGAGAAAATGCAAATAACAATGAAAAAAGAGATTTAAGTTCCAAAACTGTTAACAAATTCTGTGAAAACCTGTTCTTTGTTAACAAGAATACGTGCTAATGAGAATACTGTGGAGTTACGACAAATGTTTATTCTAGAGGGAACACAACGATATTGTGATCTAGTTAAGGGATGGGAACAACAGGAAGCTAGGTCAGCGTGTAGCGGATGTGTGGAGTCGATGAGAATCTTATGTGCAAACTTGTCATATGCATCCAAATTATCTTCGCATAGGTTAGTTATCAACTCCTTTAGTGGGATTGAAGAGATACGGCTAATGATGGTCAATCCACGTCGAAGCAAATTAAAATCTTTCTTAAGGAGGTTGGAAAAAATAAACAGGCGAACAATAAAGTAAAACAGGGAAAACACACTGATACACAAAGTTGGGAATAATTGATTGTGGAATACGAAACTGACGAAGTTTACGGATATGAAAAGGAAGTTTTCGAAGCTTACTGACGATGTGTTGAATGTGAGAGGTCCAGTGAAGATTACTATCAATAAAAGCTCCCAGGTATTTAATACACTTTACCCGGGATACTGGTTCGGAACCAATCGATACCGTTTCAGGTGGGAAAGAAGAGCGTGATAGTGTAAATAGACATTCGAAACATTTGGAGGGATTAAAAGATAGGCCCGATGTGGTGGAAAACCGTTGGACTTTATCCAAGTTGTCAGAAAATTGTGAATGACCAAAAGGGTCAGAGATGGCCTGACACAAGACCACATCGTCAGCATACTTGAAGAGAGAAGTAGAGGCGCAAGCGGACAAGTCACTAATATGCGTAGAAAGTAAGTATGAGGAAAGAA